AGAGAAGTCCTCCAGCACCGTAAGGCTAAGAATTCCAACGTCTGTGTCAACTAGGCAAGAAGGACATGGAGCAAGAGGCTGTCTAGTAACAGTGGTCTCATTATGAACATTCCATCTTCACCAATGGTCTCACATCCAATTATATGTATAGCTTCATTTGAAAGCAACCGGAATTTCCTGGATGACTCTACCAATTCTGTCTTGGGGTTGAGGTCAAAATCTATGCCGTGATATTTCTGAGAACCCTTCACCCATGTCCAGGCTTGCTATTGTATTGCTAGTGTGAGGGAAAGCTTATTACACGCCAATCTAGTATTCAGGGCAGTGGTGGGTTTCAAATTTTTTAGTATCAGTTCTGTGGGTGTGGCTTGGTGGGCGTGGCATGGCTTGGTGGGCATGGCAGGGGAAGAATACTGTAAAATCTCCATTCCCTCCCCAATCCAGGGGAAGGTTACTGCAAAATTGCTTAGCACATTGTAAGCCGCCCTGAGTCTCCGGAGAAGGGCGGCATATAAATCAAATTAAAAATAAAAAAATTTAAAAAAAATCCCCATTTCTTCCCGATTAGCTGGGACTTGGGAGGCAGAGAATAGATGGGGGTGGGGCCAGTCAGAATTTTTACTACCGGTTCTCTGAACTACTCAAAATTTCTGCTACCGGTTCTCCAGAACTGGTCAGAACCTGCTGAAACCCACCTCTGATTCAGGGCCAATGAAGATCCAACAATGAGACTTTGCATCAGGGTTGAATCAGTATAAGACACCGAGACCACTCCAAAACATCTGAAGGCAGGACAAGAAGCAATGGATGGAAACTAATCAAGGAGAGAAGCAATCTAGAACTAAGGAGAAATTTCCTGACAGTTTGAACAATTAACCAGTGGAAAGACCTGCCTCCAGAAGTTGTGGGTGCTCCAACACTGGAGGTGTTCAAGAAGAGATTGGACAACTATTTGTCTGAAATGGGATAGGGTCTCCTTCAGCAGGGGGTTGGACTAGAACACCTCCAAAGTCCCCTCCCTTATTCTGTTATCTCTGTCCTTAATTACCCTGAGGTTACTGCTTGCCTTTTCCCCTCTGCCAGGACAGCTCCCACCAATCTTCGCCATCCCTTCTAGATCAGAGGGTCAAACTCAGGACGCTACTATTTAACCGGTTAGTTGATTTGACTCTCTGACTTCAGAGTAGTTCAGCAATCCGTTGTGCCAGTCAGCCAACTACCTCTATACATTACCATGCGTTATACTCTTGGTTCACACCCACTCTTACCAGGATGACTGAAAGTATTAAGAGGTAATAGTCTAGCCTATAGAAAGAATATAAAAATCCCACCAACTCTATTAGCCTGGAATGTTATCACTAACTTAATTGGAAACATTTGAATTAAATATTCAAAAGAACATCAATTGCTTTGTTCTCAGTGGGCATAAAATAGTGTTAGAGTAGATGCATTTCTAACATAAATATTGTGAAAGGGGTTCATTTATTCACTGTTTTTTAAACCACTTAAAAGACCAAGAAATTCTCTGAGCAGCAAAGGCTTTCATGTGTAATTACTGTAAATGAATAGTTGTTCATATCCTATTAGGCATTTTATGGTACAGCTTCCACATTGTTTTATAGCGTATATATTGTTCTATAATTTGTATATATAATTTATATATATGGGGGGGGGAATCCAAGACTCCTGATGAAGTCTGAGCTCATAGCTGCAATCTTCATGATAGCTAAGGAGGAATGCGCATTCTCAGAATCTAATTAAGTTATCTAAGATCCATAAAAGCTTATACAAGTATAACTGTCTTTAAAATGCTCCCATCATCTTGTTGATTTTTGTTCAGTAAGCTAACCTGGCTCCCTTCTGAGCTGATTGAGTGATTGTATACCATCAAATCAGTGTCAACTCTTATTGATTAGATTTGGTAGATAGACCTTCCAGACATTACAGATAGTCCTCAACTTATAACAATTCATTTAGTGACTGAAGCTACAACAGCACTGAAAAAAATGACTTATGACTTAAAACCTTTGCAGCATCTCCATAGTCATTTTATCTAAATTCAGATGCTAGTCAACTGACTTGTATTTATGACTATTGCAGTGTCCCAAGTCATATAATCACCTTTTGCGACCTTCAGACAAGCAAAGTCAATAGGGGAAGCTAGATTCACTTAACAACTATGTGACTAATTTAACAACTGAAGTGATTCAATTAACAATTGTGGCAAGAAAGGTCATAAAATGGGGCAAAGCTGACTTAACTGTCATGCTCAACAACAGAAATTTTGGGCTAATTGTGGTTGCAAATTGAGGACTACCTGTATTTATCTGCCTTTCAATTTTTCTAACAGTATTGCTGTAATTAAATATGTCACTTTTCTGCTGGTCTTGTCTTTCCTTCTATCTTTTCCAGAATTATGGACTTCTCAAGGGAACTGGATATTTGCATAATGTATCCACAACATGATTATTTCAGTCCGGTCATTGTATCTCAAGTTAGATTGATTGATTGATTGATTGATTGATTGATTGATTTGTTGATTTGTTGATGGTTTTGATAGTATCCATGGTATTATTTTCCAATGCCAAGTTCAAAAGAGTCAACACTCTTTCTATTCTACTTTGTCAAAGTCTTAATTTGAATGTCAAAGGGAAAACCATGTCAAAGAAATGTCATTCATTTCTTTGAAGGAAAGCCAAGACACCTGCAATGAGTTGAAAGAAAAGCAATAAAATCAGGGTTGGGATCAACAAAGGAGACAGTAAATTTCCCAACAATGGGAAGGTCCAAATGATCAGGCTCAACTTATCACATAAGGGGTCCTTGACTTCCAACCTTTCATTTAGTGACTGTTCAAAGTTACAACAGCACTGGAAAAAAAAATGATGTATATTTTCCACATTTACAGCCATTGCAGCATCCCTATGGTCATATGATCAAAATTCAGGTGCTTGGCAAAGAGTTCGTATTTATGACAGTTGTAATGTCTTGGGGTCATGTGATCACCTTTTGCAATCTTTTGACAAGCAAAATCAATGGGGAATCCAGATTCGCCTGCCTGCCTGCCTGCCTGCCTGCCTATCTCTATCTATCTATCTATCTATCTATCTATCTATCTATCTATCTATCTATCTATCATCTATCTAAATAGTAGAAGATCCATTTTATCCCACTGCCAGGAAAATCTCATGGAAATGTTCCTGAAGTTTCTCAGGGTAAAACTTGCCTCAGAAAATATTTTACCTCTGTGTTATAGACAGTAACAATTCTAGAATCCTCTTAAATGTCACCCGAAGACTAGCACTTATGTGTGATACTTCTAAATCAGCAACAAGACCTTTTAACAGAAATAGTTTTATTCAAAACTGCAGCAGCAGCACAGCTTAATTAACATTAAAGTGCTGGAAGATGTGTTGTTAGCCAGTTTCTGGGCATTTAATATCTGTTAAGTCACCCTGCATATCCCATCACCCCTGGCAGTGAATGCAGTGGTACCCTTTACAAAAATGGCTATCTGAGCTCTTATTTTATTCCCCCAAGATTTTCAATAAGGGGGAAAATATCCCTGAACTGATATCCATTAAATGCCCATTGAATGTATATCTTAAAATAATATGTCTAATCTACATGTTTGGTAATGTTTTATGTACCATCAAAACCTGTATGCATTTAACCTCTGTTTGATGTGTCCGGCTGTGTTCTCTTGCTGTCTCCGTGCTGTGCAGGATAAGGAGCTGAGAGAAAGTTGGCGCTCTCTTCGCTCTAGCTTCGTTCTCGAGGTACGGCTGGATATTTGGAATGGCGGAGGGTATGGACCCCGAGGCGGTGGTCCTAGCGGAAATGTTGACAGAAGAAGTGAGCGTATGGCTGGTGGTCCAGGCCAAATTGCAGCCCGTGGTGAGACCGAAGGAACGGCCCACAAAACAAGGCGAGGATGGCGGAGGGGCGGGTGAAACAGAGACAAAACCCACGGAGGTGCCTTCCGTGTCTGGAGAGTGGTGGCACGGTTCGGTGTTGGCTGGCCCTGGTGGCGGTGGGAAGGCTCCTGTAACCTCCTGCTGGAGAGAAAGAAGCTGGGTTGATGACAACGAAGGAGGAGAGTGGAGCTATTCTACTGGCCTCGGTCCTTCCACATTGGATATTCTGAGGGACCGGTTTGGGGAAAACAGCTTTAGAGATGCCTCCTCTATGGCTCGTGTGCCATATCGGTGGGCACACGAGCTTAGCTCCGGCTGTTTCCTGCCTCCGGAGGGCCTTGGGAGATGGGGGTGGGGAAGGCCTGTTTTTCGTTCTTCCCAGGCTCCAGAGCCTTTCTAGGAGCCTGGGGAGGGTGTGGGACCAGAAGTCGGCAAATGGGCCATTTCCAGCCTCCGGAGGGCCTCCGGGACGTTGGGGAAAGCCATTTTCACTCTCCACAGGCTCCTAGAGTGGCTCTGGAGTCTGGGGAGAGCAAAAAACGGGCCTACCAGGCCCACTGTGCCGTCATGTGGCAAAAGCAGGGAGAGCGTGGGAGGGGTTGTGTGCGCATGCACAGGGTGCATAGAATTATGGGTGTGGGCACGCGCGCACGTGACCCCCCCCCCGCGCTCCCCCCACTTTTGGCACGCGATGGCAAAAAGGTTAGCCATCACTGTCCTAGAGCATTCAAATCAATTGCCTGTCTATACTGGAAAGGAAATTTTGGTGGGCAGAATTACATACAGAACTGTATTTAATTACTATCAAAGGAGTCACCATGAAACTAAAGCATATGAAATAGACTTGCTGGCTCACTCAGTGCTTCAATTTAAGTGACTGGAAAGAAGTAATATTGTCTAATTGGCCTTTTCCCTCAATTTTGATGAGCAAAACCTTTTTGTGTTATTAGCTTCACAATGCTTCTACGGTGGTGAAATAACTCATTTCTACTTAAAAGTTGATAATCACCATCTCCATTTATTTCCTCACATTAATTTATTTCCTGGGATATCTCTTGAAATCTCATTTGTTTCTTTCAGCCTTAAAACATGCTTTCTTTTCTCTTCACATCCCCATTCTACCAGAAGCCCACAGAACCAATCCTTTCCAGAGCAGGAAACGGCAAGAAAGGAATATCACTGTTATTTGATCTGATAAAGCAGAGTATTTGCTTCTTTGAAAAGAATTAACTGGATGATAAAAAGAATCTTCAATAAGATTAAGTGAGTCTGGATATTATTAAAGAGAAATATGCACTTATCATGACATTAAACATTTTTAAATTGTGAAATTATGTGAAACAATGAGCGAAGTAATTTCGTATTTTCAGTAGTTCTTTTAAGCAAGAAAAAGCATAAAATATGGAGAGTTGATAGTAACATTTTAAGAATCTTTTTAAAGCTTACATGGGGTATTTGATGTAGAGTTTAACTAATATAAGGTTATTGTGTATTTTCAAGCATCTTGCATAGAGTTTGTATAGTTGATGGAATTCTGCTGGTTGTTTATAGTCTCAGTTACTGATATATTATAATTTATAATATTATGGAATCTATAGGTCCCTAAAAGCATGGTTCCTGTTTGACAAGAATAGTTGTATGTTAATACTGTAATGTATCTGCTTGCTATGGTTTTGTTCTATAGTTTGCATAACATTCTGGTTTATTTACAGTTCTTGGAAAAATCCAGTTTTCCTTCTTCTCCTTGCTTCAATATCATATTCTTTCAAGTATGCTTCAGATCCGCTTCCTCTGAGTTGGATCTTATTCCTTGATGCTACAGACAAAAAGAAAATAGGATTTTCTTCAGCATTATCTTGCTGTTGTGAGAGAGAGATCACAGATCTCACCTAAGTTTTGTGATTGATTGACTTCTGATGTATTAAAACTAGCTTATATAAAGGTCACTACGTATCTGTCCCATCTTTTCAAAAAAAATAATAATTTATTTTTTACCCTTTTTGTTTATTTTTGTAAAGAACTCAAGGCAGCAAATATCATTAACTTTGTTATAAAAATACATTTTTCAAAACTTTATTTATGATTTCTGTCTTTTGTTGTTGTTGAAACGAATATTCAGTCAATAGACATTTATAAGAAGACCTGTAGGAATAAAAATTATATAAAATGATTATCACAAATGCTATTAAGATTTAAACTTCAAACAAAAATATGTATTGTATCTATATTATTTTAAGATAAATTTTCTGTTTTAAAAACAAGGTAAAATTTGAAACCAGTGCTTTTAACATGAGTTTCTGAGGAAAATGAAATTGTCCCAACCTTGTTTGCCCATCTCCTTTTGCTTCTTGTTCACTATATTTATCTCCTTGATTTAATGCATATATTTTTCTCATCCATTTTGTTACATGAACCAAACTAGGAAGGCAATGAGCTTTACAGAAGTAACAAATATTGTCTAAAAAAATAATAGAAAATTTCTGTCCCATTGCACGAAAACCTAAAGAAAGTGTTCCTGAAGTTTCTCAGGGTAAAACTTGCCTCAGACATTTGGAAATTGTCCATCTTCCTTACAGAGGGACCCTGGACATTGTAAAAATAAAATGTTAAAAACAAAAAAATGAATATAAAAATGTAAAAATGGGGCAACAGTGGTTAAAAATGTGACATTAACATTAGTTAACAGGTGGGGTGGGGGGCCTTTAACTGCATTAGCCAGCTCAATGGCTATGTAGTCTTCTGTGGAATCCAATCAAGATGATAGAGGATTTGAGAAATATTGTCTTTAAATGTAGATACTTTTAGATTTTTATTCCACATAGAGGTGATGAACATATCTAACCCCTTCCTATTTTCCCTACAAAAACAACCTTGTGAGGAGGGTTGGGCTGAGAGTGAGAGAGATTGGCCGAAAGTTATCAGCTTTCATTCCTGACCTAAAGCTTGATTAGAATTCTGTCTTCTGATGATTGGCCCAATGTCACCCAGCTGGCTTTCATGCCTAATGTTGGACTAGAACCCCAATCTCCTGGTCACTAGGCTAGTACCTTTACACAAAACTGGTTGCCTGTGATATATGTGAATAGGGCAACAAACACCTGTCTAAATGCAAAGCTAGTGTTTAATTTGGCCTTCATAATTAAGGGGCTGGCCATATTTGATTCTTATGGTCCATTTAAACCAGTATTTGACTTAACTCATGAATGAGCAGAATTTCTGGTTTTCTCTTAATGATGGCTTCAGCTAAAAACTGACCATCTTAATCATGTCTTTTACTGTGTTCTTGGGGGAACAGAGCAGTCTGTCTTATTTTTCTCTTAAATTAGATTTAAATTAACCAAATTAACCAAGTAGTGGAGACTGTAAAATTTCAAAGTAAATAGCTTTCATGGCTTTATGATGAAATGAAATAACCAAATATTTGTTGTGTGTGTAATTTTGCTGATGGCCTGATATACAAATCCATCTTGTATGATATGACTCTAATCAGCTGTATTTCTCTTGCAATCAGAAAATTTGTTTGTCTCCTTTTGCAGTCCCAGGGCAGAAAGATGCCAAATTTTTCTTTTTCAACGGCCCATAATTTCCTCCGTTTCACCCCTGAATCTTTGGATTCAGTTAGAAAGAGAATTGCTGAGAAGGAAGCCAAACGCTCCAAAGCCTCGGAAAAGGACAATAATGAAACACAAGAAGAAAATATTCGACCACAGCTCGATCTGAAAGTTTTTAAAAAGCTACCTATTCTTTATGGGAAGCCCCCTCCTTGGCTCATCGGAGAACCATTGGAAGATGTTGACCCCTATTACAGGGATCATGAGGTCATACATTTGTTTTTTTAAAAATATATATACATCTTATTTTTGGTATAAAATGCTTTTATGAGATTAAAGTAAGCTACAGTAGAATGTTGAGGCACTCAAAAACAGGTTTTTAAAAAAGGAGCTGAAACATAAAAATGGGTCAGTGTTCATGAGTGGAGGAGTCCTAAACAGTTGAATTATGAAATATGTGTCTGAGTTTCAAATAGAAAATATATACTTTATTGACTCTGGAATTAATTGTTGGTAGATGGTTGCTGTCAGAGATACACTTGATCTACTCTGTAGATTAGAACCTGTGATAATATCTGGATTTCACAAATAATAAGGAAACCAAGATGTGTGAAGTAAAAATCATTCTATTTTACTTTAATGAAAAAAAATTGAGGGGATTTTTATTAATCTAGGACCTATGGCAGCTCAAAGGCTGAGACACTTAGCAGGGGTGGGCTGCTGGGGGCTCACAGGGGTTCGGGAGAACCTCTAGCTATGATTCTATGCAGTTTGGAGAACCCCCAAATCCCACTCCTGGCTAGCCTCGCCCACCCCACCCCTCCCAGGAGTCCCTACGGGGCCCACTTTGGATGCAGGTAAGTGTATGGTGCGTTCGGAGGCTTGGGGAGGGAAACAAAGGGCCTACTGGAAGTTTGGGAAAAACGGGCCCGTTTCCGGCCTCCAGAGGGCCTCTGGAGCCTGGGGAGGCTGTTTCTGCCCTCCCAAAGGCTTAAGGAAAGCCTCTGGAACCCGGAGAGGGCAAAAATGTTCGTCCCCCCCCCCCCCCCCCCGCTGCCATGGTACAGGAGACTGATTAAGTCACGCCCATCATGGCCACGCCTACCCAGCAATGGGGCAGAGAACCCCTTGCTAAAATTTTTGAAGCCCACCCCTGATTGTTAGATAATATCTTCCAGATTCTCTTATGTGTCAGTTGAGGGAAAGAATGTGAGCACAAATTGATGTAGTCTTCTTTGAATTTCAAAATTGTCAGACAGAAATGGGAAAGATTGTGGATTTCTTTCAAACTGAGATACTAGAAGGTAAACATTCTGGGGTTGTGAAACAGCACTTTTTACAGAAAAAGAAAAAGTTAAAGAAGTTTTTTTGGGGGGAAAATTGGAGGTTTAGACTTTAAATGAACCAGGATAGGCAATTAAATGATAAACGCCTAAACCTAGAAACCTACAAAAATTAATTGGGATCTACTAAAAGTGCATTATTGCCTATACAGCCTTACCTGAGGTTCTCCACAATATTCCCAGTAATTTTTGTTTCCAAGCTATGCTAAAATATAGTCCGTCTTCTTTCTCCAATCTTTCTCCATTATATCTCCAATCTTGTTTCAATTGTATCATAATATCACATCATAATGATGCTTCCAGCGGTACATATCCTACCCTTTCCCATTTCAAGAAACAAAACAAAGTTTGAAAATCAAGAACTGGATTTCCTGAGATTGGTCTGCAGAAAAACAGCTGCTTAGAAAGTGCACAGACATTGTAGTCAGAAAAGTGTCATATAAGTAGTCCTTGACTTATAACCACAATTGAATCCAAAATTTCCATTGCTAAGCAAGACAGTTAAGTGAGTTTTGCCCCATTTTATGACCTTTCTTGCCACAGTTGTTAAATGAATCACTGCAGTTGCTAATTTGGTCACACGATTGTTAAACGAATCTGTCTTTCTCATTGACTCTGCTTGTCAGGAGGTTGCAAAAGGGGATCGCATGACCCCAGGACTCTGTGAATGTCATAAATGCATGTCAAATGTCTAAATGTTGATTATATGACCATAGGGATGCTGTCATGATCATAAGTATGAAAAATGGCCATAGGTTAACTTTGTTCAGTGCCGCTGTAACTGAAATGGTCACTAAATGAATTGTTGTAAGTCAAGGACTACCTATAGAAGAAAAGGATTAAAAATTGATCTAAATTGTAAAGTTCACAACTGGTATCTGCTATGAGGAATCACAAAACATGAAAATTGGCTAGTTTTTCCACCTAAAGTAAGCATCAGCAAAAAATCTATCTCGGGGTTTTCCGTCTTTTTAATTGTGTCTCATTATTGCAGTGATAGGATAGGACTTGCTGACTTTTTGTATAAGAGACAATTCTATAGTTCCTAAGATTGGTATGTAGTATTTCTCCATGTCAAAATGTACAAAACTGCATTGAATTTATATTGGTGGAAGTATTTCAGCCTTCCTAACCCGATGTCCTTAAAATTTATTTAGATTTGGCAATTCTGGAAGTTCTAGTCCAAGGGTCTGCAACCTTAAATACTCAAAAGAGCCATTTGGACCCCTTTCCCACAGAAAAGAAAACACCGGGAGCCACAAAACCTGGGTGGGCGTGGCCAATTCGATGTCACTCACTTCCACCAGTCACATGACCACCCCTAGCCACGCCTACCCAGCTGGTAATTAGGGCAGAGAAGCAGTTGTTAAAAAACACCAGGAACCACAAAATCCTTTTGACATCTCTCTCTCTCCCCTCCCTCTCTCCTTCCCTCTCTTCCTCTCTCTCTGTATCTCTCTCTGTCTCTCTCTCCCCCCCCTCTCTGTATCTCTCTGTCTCTCCCCTGGCCGCTTCTCCATCCCCCACCATTGCCCTTACCTTCTCAGGCCAGATGAGGAGTGACTGGGAGGGGAGGGCAAGGGGCGGGGCCAGCCAATGGTGGGATCACCTGACAGGGAGCCACTGCAGAGGGCCCAAAGAGCCGCATGTGGCTCTGGAGCTGCAGGTTGCTGACTCCTGTTCTAGTCCAACACAAGGGCTCTAAGCTGAGAGTTTGGTTATTACATCATTTAAATAAATAATATTTAAAATGCTCTTAAAAATCTCTTCTAAACAGCGTTACTTACAAAGAATTTACCTATATTTTACAGACGTTTATGGTGCTATCATCCCGAAGCAGAATCTTTCGATTTACGGCCTCTAAATCTTTATTCTTATTTAGTCCTTTCCACCCAGTAAGAAGACTAGCCATAAAAATTTTAATACATATATATCCTTCTAATGTGAAAATGATTCACTCAGTGGTTGTCAGTAAATATGAAGGTTAGCTCTTTTTACATGCATTGCATACCAATCTAGGCTGGATTCCTATAGCATCAAAAATTGGGATAGTTTATAATACAGTGTATCATGGAAATCTAGCCACTGTTTCAGTGGTGGGTTGCCCCTGGTTCGGACCGGTTCTATAGAACCGGTAGTAAAACCGGCGGGAGGCTCCGCCCACTGACCCTGACGTCATCAGAAGCGATCTGCGCATGCGGATCCTGTTGCGAACCGGTAGTAAAGGTAAGTAGAACCCACCCCTGCACTGTTCCATCTTTTTATGTGAATAAGACATTCATGATATGCCAAAATATTGTTTATTTTGCATGATATGTGAAGACAATTGTATTTTTAGGTGCTACAGTGGCTTTCTTCCTTTTGTATATTCTCTTCTGTTAAGAGTAGAGAGAAATGGCCCTGAATGGGTCTCATATTGGAGGCCTCTTACTTCCTTGCTTTTCTACCAAATACTGTACAGGTAGTTCTCAACTTACGACTGCAATTGAGCCCAAAATGGTTGTTGCTTAGTAAGATAGTTGTTAAGTAAGTTTTGCCTCATATTACAACCTTTCTTGCCATAGCTGTTAAGTGAATTACTGCAGTTAAGTGAATTACTGCAGTTGTTAAGTGAACCTGACTTCCCCACTGACTTCGCTTGTCAGAAGATTGTACTGTAAAAGGTGATCGCAGGACTCTTGGATACTAAGTGCAGCCATCATAAATACGAGCCAGTTGCCATTTTGATCACATGACCATAGGGAAGCTGCAGGGATTGTTAAGTGTGAAAAACAATCAATACTCACTTTTTTTCAGTGCTGTTGTAACTTCACTGGTTGTAAGTCAAGGACTATCTTTAGTGAGCGCCTTCGTATTCAACCTTTATTTCTGCGTGACAAAACGCCTGTAGTAATTTGATACCTCTCACAATTACAGGCAATTAATATGACTAAGCATACTTTTTTCAACTCATTTGAATAAGACTAAGCTGTATCCTATTAAAGAGGATCTTAACCTTAACAGTCACTAAATGAATGGTCGTAAGTTGAGGACTACCTACAATTGCTACAGACTTCATATGGACTCCATGTGCTCAGACTCAAATATTTCAGCTTAGGGAAATTATGTACACCTGATGAGTCCCAAGAAACAAGTTGCAAAATACATCATATTAGTCAGCAACAATCACGGCAATAACTGAGTTTTATTAAATTTGGAATAGATCTTTTGTGATCCCAGCAACTTTATATCATTTTGATTGGATTCACATGTTCTATTCACCCCAAACAAAATCCAAACACTTGGGTTCCTCAGTTCTCTGATGATGATCAAAATTAGGTGGGTTGGATTTATAATGAAACCATCTTTGAGATTGAATATTGGGTCAATGTTAACGAGGAGTGAGGGTCATAACTGGAGAACTGAGTAGAACAACTGCATTATCCTATTTTTTGAAATGCTCCCTTTAGTTTAAGAATACAATGGAAAAGCAACCACTTTTTACCATATTAACCAGTAATTGAACATACAAATGCATTTTTCCTTCTTCAAAGGAAGATAATTTCCTTAACGTTATTCACTATGTTTATTGCATTTATAACATGTGTTGTTCTCGTCAATTGTGTTTTTATGGCTTTAAACACTCCTCCAACTGATGGCAACACTACTGAGTAAGTATATTCTAAACTTTCATAGTTTTCCTGCAAGCAATAATTAATGGATCTAATGGACTTGACACAGCAACACAACACAAGCAGCAGTGCTAAATCCAAAACAGTTCAGAGAATCAATCCAAATTCTGAAGGCTGAGAATTCAAGATAGCATAGCAGGTACTAGCCTTAATATGTTTCCAGCAAGCTGACCAAACTTTTGCCAGAATCTTTTCTAATCAGTGCTTCTGCAGCCCTTGTTATGTTCTACTTGATTCTGTATTAAATATCTTCAAGAAGTTATTTCAATTCTTTTCTTGGTTGATGGGGAAAAAAAACCCTCTGATTTTGACCTATATCCATGAGGTGCGTCATAAAAGTCAAGTTGCCATCAGGTCTTGGAGAAATAAAACCCAATACTTCACTTATACGCACCCTGCATGTACACATATTAAAAACAACTTGAGATCTGGTTCTGCAGTCATGGCCTTTGACCTCCCTGGTCCCTTCATATTAATTTATTACATTTATATACACTAATCCCAGTGATAAAGTGACTCTGATACTCTACTAGCCCTTTAGCTATTTCCTAATAAGTGAATTGAGCATGTCCCTTTCTGTCTACAGCAGTGTTGGTGAACCTTTTCGGCACCGAGTGCCAAAACGGGAGCGTGCATGCACGTGCATTCTGGAAACCGGAAGAGCAGTTGTCCGGGGGGGGCATGCGCGCACCAAAAAGATGATCTTCCAGTTTCTTTCACATGCATGCACGCCAGCCAGCTGGTTTTCACATGTGTGGGAACACTGGAAACCAGAAGAGCAGCTGCTCCATGCACATGCCGGGAAGATGATCTGGTTTCCGGCACACACATGCGCACCGGCCACCTGGTCTTCCGGTTTCGGGTATGCATGCTTGCTTGAAGACCAGTATTCTGTCCCCGTCCCACACGCACACACACCAACAGACGTTCAAGAGTTAAAGACCGAACCAGCCGGCAAAATCCTTTTCCTTATGATAACGGAACTTGGCAACAACCTAGTGGCTGCCTGCCAAGAGTTTATTACTAACCAAGAGGAGAGATAACTTCTCCCCACTTCTGGTACATCAAAAGAAACAGCTCAATAATTACAGAGTCAATCAAGTCCGGAGATAATTCATCAAAGTCTATAGCAAAAGTCCGGCAATGCAGAATGGCGTGGAAGCTTTCAGCTTTGTTCGTCACAAGGTTTGACTGGCCACCACACTCCCTTTTATACCCTGTGGGGTGTGGTCCAGTGACTCAGCCTAATCTCAGGTACGCCTTTTCTTCTGTTGCGCGCACTTATCTCTGCGACGCTGGCGTGGGTCCAGCCAAGACTCATTACCCTCATCACTGTCCATCTGTGGCTGCGTGGACGTGCTTGGCCCCGGCCCTATCTCTTGCCCTTCGGCGGACACCAAAGGCATTGCCAAAGAGGAGGGTCCTGGAGAGGGAGGCCTTGCCAACTCCTCTCCTTCACTCTCAGAGTCCTCTTCTGCCGATGACACAGGCTCAGATAACGGAGCCACAAGAACCAGCTGGCCGGCACACATGCACATGCTGGAAATCGGGCGGCTGCTCTTCTGGTTTCCTGTGCTACCACGAGTGTGAAGACCAGCTGGCCGGTGTGCTGGAACTGGGAAGAGCAACAGGTGATGGCTCGCGGGCCCGGAGAGATGGCTCTGCGTGCCACTTCTGGCATGTGTGCCATAGGTTCGCTATCACGGGCCTATAGAGATTTGGTTGTCCCAAAGGTGCTTTTCTAAAGGCAGCTGGACTTTCTTGTTTTTGTTTTTTCTTTAAAACGTTTTGCTTCTCACTGAAGAAGCTTCTTCAGTTTTTTTCTAACAACTTTTTGGACTTTGTTGTTATCTTTATCAGATTTTATGCATTATCTACAAATGTCTCGGTGTAAAATGAGACTCAGATCTCATCAGTGGGGCTTATTTTCAGCTCACTCAGCAAGTAGTATGCTTCAGGTTAGAGAGCACCAATAATGAGAAATTTGACACTATCTTCCTTTGCAATGTTATCATTCATCAGTGGCTCTCAAACATTTGGGTTTCAAGATTCTTAAAAAGGGTCCCTAGATGGAACAATTTGCCTCCAGAAGTTGTGAATGATCCAACACTGGAGGTTTTTAAGAAGATATTGGACAACCGTTTGTGTATAATAATAAGGTTTCCTGATTGAGCAGGAGGTTGGACTAGAAGACCTCCAAAGTCCCTTCCAACTCTTGTTATTCTGAAAAAAAAAATCAAATATTTTTTTTCTCTTTGCAGACCTCCTGAATTGATCTTGGGGACCCCCAGAGGTCCCGAGACCATATTTTGGGAACCACTGTCATGGAGGTTTTCCTTTTCTTTGGGTTTTATTCTGGTAGGGCTATCAAATCTTGGTTACAGAACTTCAGAGAGCTATAAAGCACTAATGAGAACAGTCCTGCTTGGAATTGTAGTTTTGTTTTTATAAAATGGCATGATAGTTTTGGTTAAAAGTAGTAGTTTGTTTGCAGTCACTAAACTCGTTGATTGTTTACAGTTCTTAGTCTGGTTTTTATGGTAAAAAGCTACATTACCATGTAGCTAATTCTACGTTCTGTTCCTTTTGGGAATGTTTTCCCTCTTTGAGGATTAGGCCAAATATTTTGCAACATCTAATAATAGAAGCCCATGATGGCGAATATATGGCATGTGTGCCGGAAGTGGCATGCAAAGCCATCTCTCCAGACACGCGAGCCAGTGCCTGTTACTCTTCTGGGTTCCAGCGCGCCGGCCAACTGGTCTTAACACGCGTGAGAGCATGAGCGCACCGGGAAGATGATCTTCCGGTTTTCGGTGTATGTGTATGCACTGGCCACCTGGTCTTCCAGTTTCTGGTGTGCATTCACACGTGAAGACCAGCTGGCTGGTGCGCAATGCATACATCGGAAACCAGAAGATCATATTCCCGCTATGCGCAGGCACACTGGGTGGCTGCTTTTCTGGTTTTCAGGATGCAACATGTGCTTCCGTTTCAGCACTTGGTGCTGAAAATGTTCGCCAACACTCCACTAAGGCTTTTGACACTGTCAGTTGTGAAGGTCTGTGGCGCATCATGTCGAAGTTTGGGTGCCCTGATAGATTTATCCTGATGGTACGTCAGTTCCACGACAGTATGACAGCTCGTGTTCTAGAAGACGGAGAAGCTTCAGAGGCCTTTCCTGTTATAAACGGCATCAAGCAAGAATGCGTGTTGGCACAGACCTTGTTCAGCATAATGTTTTCAGCCATGCTGTCATACGCCTTCCAGAACAGTTCCTTGAGAGTTAGCCTGAGATACAGGACCGATGGAAAACTGTTCAACCTGTGAAGATTACATGCTGTCACCAAGATAAAGGAGACTGTGTTACATGACCTCTTCTGCTGATGACTGTCCCCTGAATGCTAGATCAGAGCAGAAAATGGAAGCCAGTGTGGACAAATTCACAGCAGCATGTGACACCTTCGGCCTCCTCATCAATATAAAGAAGGCTGAAGTGATGCATCAGCCAGCTCTGAAAGCCCAACACCAAGAGTCCACCATCACAGTGAAGGGACAAAAGCTGCAAGCAGTGGACCAATTTACATACCTTGGCAGCACCCTTTTCCGTGCAGTGACAATTGACATTGAGGTCAACTGCAGAATCGCCAAGCCAAGCTCTGTATTTGGCAGACTACTGACCAACGTGTGAGACCGCTATGGAATAAGCCTTGCTACAAAGTTTATTTATTTATTTATTTATTTATTCATTCATTCATTCATTCATTCATTCATTCATTCATTCAACTTGTATGCCGCCTTTCTCCGAAGACTCAAGGCGGCTTACAATGCATTTAAAAACCATATATAAAACATTAAAAGTTAAATCATTAAAAACATTAAAAACCCATTCACACCATTCATGGCCGGATCTCGCCAAATTGCAACAGCGAGATCAACGGCCCCAGACCTGCTGGAAGAGCCAGGTCTTCACTGCTTTTCGGAAGGCCAATAGGGTGGGGATGATCCGGACCACAGGAGGTAACTGGTTCCAGAGAGCTGGGGCAGCCACAGAGAAGGCCCTCCCCTGCGGGCCCACCAGCCAGCATTGTTTAGCTGATGGGACCCTGAGGAGACCAACTCTGTGGGATCTTACCAGTCACTGGGAGCAAGTTCAAAGTCTACTGAGCAGTAGTGCTAACTACCCTGTGTTGTGACCTAGGCTCACTTAGTCATTACAAGACACAATTAGTTCCAAACAAACCTATTTTATTATAACAGCTGAGAATTACTTCATTCCCAGCTTAGTCCAAATTAATTCCAAAACAAGTCCTTCAGAAAAAGTCCTTTGGGCTTATCACAAACCTTTATCTTCTTTGGCACCCTGCTAAAGGCCTTTCTTGGCAAAGCCCCATGAAGTTCAGAAACAAGAGATGCTGACTGGAAACAGATTTAGCAATGTTGCTTTCCTACAAAGAGCCCAAGAGCCTTTGCTGCTCTTTATGGGAGGGGCCAATCATCTCCTGGCCTTACTCCCAAGTCGTCCCTTTTGCTTAAGCTGCTCTTGCCTTCTGGCAGCTCTGCGCATGCGTGCACCTGTTCCTCTGCCTCTTTGCTGTCCGATTCTGGAGGCTCCGGAATCCGCGCATCACTCCCAGATGGCCCTGGCCCCATCTCTGCCTCCGACGTAGAGCCCTCATCCGGGCCTTCTCCAGACTCCAGGATTGGCCTCTGGTCCTCCCCAGCCTCCTCACTGTCTGATTCTGCTGCCAGCTCCACAGGCTGCTGGTGGACCACAACACTCTGATGTATGCCAGTGAGACTTGGACTGTATACAGGAGGCACGCTAGGCAATTGAACCACTTCCACATGACCTGCCTCTGTAGAATTCTGAGGATCCGGTGGCAGGACAAGGTGCCAGACACAGAAGTCCTCTCCAGAGCAGGCCTGCCATCAGTTCACACCCTTCTGATGAAAGTCCAGACAAGCTGGGTAGGCCATGTTGCAAGGATGCCAGACCATCGCATCCCCAAATAGCTCCTCTATGGTGAGCTGTCTCAAGGAAAGCGATCGCACAGGGGACAAAGGAAGCAATACAAAGACACGTTGAAAGCCTCCTTCAAGTCCCTAGATATCGACACCACCTCCTGGGAAACCCTGGCACAAGATTGATCGACATGGCACATATTGATCTACCAAGGCTGCCAGATATCAGAGGACAGAAGGACAACCATAGCACAAGAGAAGAGAGCACTCCACAAAGTCAGAGCTGCAAATGCTGCAATAATGATGCCCACACATGTCTGCCTGACATGTGGCAGAACATTTCGTGTCCATATAGGCCTTACCAGCCCCCTGCGGACACATGGTGGACAGCCCACAACCTATTAGATGTCAAGGTCCTCTTTGAACCTGATGGACGAACATCATCAGCAGCAGCAGCTTGCTCAGTAACTATATTTGTAGCATGTAACGGTTCATAGCATCCCCTAATACTCTTAGCATGATCTTGTTAATGACCAATTGCATATTCAGGTAGTGTGTTTCCCACGGTGAGTTTTCAGGTTATTACAGTTCATACTTTTGTACAGACCTCTGGCTGGTCTGAATTGGTACTTACCAGAAACCATATTTTTGTTTTGTTACTTCAAAGAACAAGGAACATTAATCAGAGATGCCCCTTGTTATCAAAAACAGTTACTCAAAGAGTAACTTCTGCTCCCATCACTAATATCGAGATAGTCAGTATTGTAAACCGAATATCCTCTTTTTTCTGTTTCTAATGGCTTTTCTTTCTTTTGCTGCTTTCCTTTTCAGAATTATTTTCACCAGCATTTATACGGCGGAGTTTGTAGTCAAAGTGGTAGCAAGAGGATTTGTTTGTAATGAATTCACTTACCTGCGAGATCCTTGGAATGTCTTGGATTTCTTTGTTTTAATTATGACGTAAGTTTGGGTGTTCCTTTGCTGGTTGAAACTGGCTGAAAGAGATAGAGAGATAAGCTCAAACTCTTCTTGGCTTTTAATGAGAGGGAGTTTCTGATCTAAGGGGTTCTTAAGCATGTAGCAGTAGCTTATTTGGTTTATTTATTCCATGTATATGGATGCTTATCTCACAAGTGCTCTTAAATCTTTCTGTCTCTGGATTTTATTTGAGAAGGCAAAACTGTACATAGACAAAAGATACATGTTAATGGTATGAAATAAGAACATAGTCCTAATAAGACGAAAATATATTTTGTCTCTAACTTCTTCAGCTCCCCTGTAAACAATCTCCCTACAATTTTTTAGCATTGAAATCGAAGGAAATATAGATAATCCTCGACATATGACTACAATTGAGCCCAAAATTTCTCTTGCTAAGTGAGACAGTTATTAAGTGAGTTTTGCCCCGTTTTACAATCTTTCTCGCCACAGTTGTTAAGTGAATCATTGTTATTGTTAAGTTAGTAACAAGATTGTTAAGTGAATCTGGATTGACTTTGCCTATCAGAGGGTTGCAAAAGGCGGTCACATGACCCCACCCCCGGGATGCTGCAACCATTATAAATATGAAGCAGTTGTCAAACATCTGAATTTGGATCAAGTGACCATGGGGATGCTGCAATGGTCATAAGTGTAAAAAATGACTATAAGTCAGTATCTGTATCAGTTTCAGTATCATTGAAAGGTCACTAAACAAAGGGTTGTAACACCAGGACTACCTGTACAGGGAAACATAAAGTGACTCAGAGCCATTGAGATATATTAATGAATGGAGACCTATAGCTGGGGAAATGGGAATGAAGAGCCAGTTTGGTCTAGTGGTTAAGGTGCTGGAGTAGAAACTCAATGTCCTGCCATAGGCATGAAAACCGACTGGATTACTTTGGGCTAATCCCTCTCTCTCAGCCCAACCCACCTCACAGGACTGTTGTAGGGAAAATAGGAGGAAGGAGTATCAGGTCTGTTTTCTGCCTTGAATTATTTACAAAATAATAAAAGAGATAAAAATCTAATAAATAATAATAAAAGTGGGCTACTCCCTACTCGTAACTAGATTTAATGGTATGCCTTGGTAGGAGAACCTGAAAACAAATGATGCTCGGAGAGGTTTATAACAGTGTTTTGCAAATGCCTTGCTTCCAGCAAATGCTCAGCAAAACATTGAGCAGTGCTTAGCAGAAGCTACGTACGTGTAATAGATTTCATAGCTTTTTGCTGTGTCTCTTGGGAAGCTGGGTTGATATTCTCAACCATACCGAGAAATAAAATGAAGTATGTTTTGCAGCATTTTCCCTGTAGCTCTGGGACAGACATTTTCTTCTTGCTCTGACTCACAGTTGCTGGAATGTCTTTCTCCCTTAATAAGTCACGTGACTTTGCCACTCCTTGTAGCACTCTTGTTTTATGTCTGGTAGGATCTTATGTCCTCTTTCCCGAGGCTGCATAAGCAAATCAGGGAAGGAAGTACAGGGATATATGGTATCAATTGGGGGCCTTTGTTGTGCCTTCCCATTGCCCTGCAGGAGGGACTGTTGACCAGGATTGAACAATCAAAACATAGAGGTGGAAATACATGTTTAAAGATGCCGAAGAAGGTTTGAAGTATGAGGTATATAGATGTAGTGCCCTAAATCGATGAACCAAAATAATCTGAGGTAAACTATATGCTCTTCGGGGCTTCCATCTTCACCCAGCAATATCTTAGTTAGAATAGAATAGAATAGAATAGAATAGAATAGAATAGAATAGAATAACAGAGTTGGAAGGGACCTTAGAGGTCTTCTAGTCTAACCTCCTGCTCAGACAGGAAACCCTGGCCTATATCATTTCAGGCAAATGGTTGTCCAATCTCTTCTTAAAAACTTCCATTGTTGAAAAATTCACAACTTCTGGAGGTAAGTTGTTCCACTGGTTAATTGTTCTAACTGTCAGGAAATTTCTCCTTAGTTCTAAGTTTTTTTTTTTTTTAATTTGATTTATATGCCGCCCTTCTCCGGAGACTCAGGGCGGCTTACAATGTGCTCAGCAATAGCCTTCATCTTTTTGTATATTTTATACAAAGTCAGCTTATTGCCCCCACAAACTGGGTCCTCAATTTACCTACCTTAGAAAGGATGGAAGGCTGAGTCAACCTTGAACCTTGGCGAGATTCGAACCTGCAGTAATTGCAGGCAGCTGGTCTTAATAACCAGCTTAATAACAGGGTGCCTTGGACCACTGACTACCAAGGCTCTCTCCTTGCTTCTCTCCTTGATGAGTTTCCACCCATTGCTTCTTGTCCTGCCCTCAGGAGCTTTGGAGAATAGGTGGACTCTCTCTTCTTTGTGGCAACCCCTCAAATACTGGAATACTGCTACCATCACCCATTAGTCCTTCTTTTCATTAAACTAGACATACCCAATTACAGCAACTGTTTTTTATATGTTTTAGCCTCCAGTCCCCGCTAATCATCTTTGTTGCTCTTCTCTGCACTTAGAGTCTCAACATCTTTTTTACATCATGGTGACCAAAACTGGATGCATTATTCCCAGCATGACCTTACCAAGGCATTTTAAAGTGGTATTAACACTTCATGTGATCTTGACTCTATCCCTCTGTTAATGCAGTCTAAAACTGTGTTGGCTTTCTATTAATAAAGGGATAGAATCAAGAAGTTCTAGTATCACTTTACAAAGCCTTAGTTCACACTTGGAATATTGCATCCAGTTTTTGGTCACCACAATATAAAAAAGACTCTGAGACTTTGGAAAGAGTTCAAAGAAGAGCAACAAAGATGATTAGGGGACTTGAGACTAAAACATATGAAGAATGGTTGCAGGAATTGAGTATGTCTAGTCTAATGAAAAGAAGGACTAAGGAAGACATGATAGCAGTCTTCTAATATTTGAGGGGCTGCACAAAGAAGAGGGGGTCAATCTGTTCTCCAAAGCATCTGAAGGCAGGACAAGAAACAATGGATGGAAACTAATCAAGGAGAGAAGCAACTTAGAACTAAGGAGTAAATTGCTAACTGTTACAACAATCAACCAATGGAATACTTTGCCTTCAGAAACTGTAAGTAGTCCATCACTGGAGGCTTTCATTTCTAGGACAGCCACATCTGGAATGGTATAGGGACTTCTGCGTGAGCACGAGGTTGGACTAGAAGACCTCCAATTCTATTATTCTATGTTCTTTATTCTATGTCCCAATAAATAATATGGATGAAAGGGTGCTCTCCTTTTATATAGCACTTGCAGAAGATGCTCAGATGGTTGTCCCTAAGAATGTAAGAAATCTACTAAATCTGGCTATGGCCCATCTTAGTCCAACATTGAGCATTTTGAGGGTGGCAGCTTCTAAATCAAATAAATGTTTAGTACAAGAGCCAACCAGAAGCCTCTGAGGTATTCATAAGCAGGACCAGGAGACCTACCATTCTCCTATTGTCCTGCAACTGGGTATTTGGACAGATGCTGTCCCCAGCTGGATAATACAGGTACGGTAGTCCTAGATTTACGACCACAAATGAGCCTAAAATTTCTGTTATTAAGGGAGACAGTTGTTAAGTGCACTTTGCCTCACTTTACAACCTTTCTTGCCCCAGTGGTTAAGTGAATCACTGCAGTTGTTAAGTTAGTGGCACAGTTGTTAAGTGAATCTGGCTTCCCCATTGACTTTGCTTCTCAGAAAGTCACAAAAAGTGATCACATGACCCCAGGACAACTGGGGTCATAAATATGAACTTGTCATAAATATGACAAGTTCTGTCATAAATATGACAAGTTCTGTCATAAATATGAACTAGTTGCTAAGCGCCTGAATTTTGATCACATGACTACAGGGATGCTGCAATGGTCGTAAGTTTGTGAAAAATCGCCATAAGTCACTTTTTTCAATGCCATTGTAACACTGAAAGGTCACTAAATGAACTGTTGTAAGTTGAGGACTGTCTGTACTTTAGTCTTCAAGGCTGAGAGACCTTGATAGACCTATTCTCTTTTAAAGCCAACCAAATTAATGACCATTACTTCATCCTGTGTAATGAATTTCACAGGTTAATTACCCTTCGGCATTGTTTATACCTTAATGACCTCTTTACAGTGACTTGATTACAAAGTCTTCAATCACTTTCCTTCCTGGAGCAGCCAGAAGTTGCTTCTGGAGCATTCTGCTTGCATTTACTTATTTATTATTTATATCCCTCCTTTATTAAACAACTCAAGGCAGTGAATATATCCAACATACCTTCCTCTTCCTTTTTTTACCCATAAAAACAACTCTGTGAGATAGATTGGGCTGAGAGAGAGGGACTGGCCCAAAGTCACCCAGCTAGCAATCATGTCTAAGGCGGGACAAAACTTTCAGTTTCCTGGTGATTGGTCCAAATCACCCAGCCAGTTTCCATGCTTAAGACGGAAACTGGCTAGGTGTACTAGAATGTACAGTTTCCCAGTTTCTAACCTGGTATTTTAACCAGGGGTAAAATCCAATTTTTTTTATTACCGGTTCTGTGGGCGTGGCTTGATGGGCGTGGTGTGGCTTGGTGGACGTGGCTTGGTGGGCATGGCAGGGGAAGGATACTGCAAAATCTCCATTCCTCCCCATTCCTGGGGGAAGGATATTGCAAAATCCCCATTCCTCCCCAATCCTGGGAGAGGGATATTGCAAAATCTCCATTCCCACTCGACTCTGGGGCCAGCCAGAGGTGCTATTTGCCGGTTCTCCGAACTACTCAAAATTTCCGCTATCGGTTCTCCAGAACCTGTTAGAACCTGCCGAATTTCATCCCTGATTTTAATCAATAGACCAAATTGGCTCTCTAAACTATACGATACAACAAAAAGTTACAATTTGCCCTCTCATTTAGTAGTAGCATTTGCAGCTTTTCTGCCCTGAATATTTTCATACATTCACCCAGTCTGACCCTGTCTGCTTGGACTAACATCAGCTGCCCAAGTTATTCCTCGGTTCTGCTACCAAAACAATGGCATTGAGGATGTTTGGAAATTAGTCTGTTATCTTTGTGGTCCAAATCCACACATTTCAGTAGCTGGTATGATGCTGCTGACAGGAATGCACATATCACTGGAAAACATCTGCTATCTCAGGTCTTTGGGAAGGACTTAATAGATGGATAAACATACCAAATCCAGTCTAATAATCTGGCAGACTTTGCAACCAGCCATCATAATTTATTAAATTTCTATGCTATTCAACTCACAGCAACTCTGCAAAGTATTATAATATTATGGTATCTTTATGCAGATACGTAGCATTCAATCAAAACTTTGGCAGCATTTCAGCTCTCCGAATTTTCAGGATTCTGAGAACTTTAAAGGCAGTTTCTGTAATTCCAGGTAAGTATGAAGCAGTTTTTATTGCTAATATACAAAATTTAAATGTCTGTTAAAGATTTAAAGACTACGTTATAGGAGCACATATCAAAATAATCATAAAACAGTCTTACTGAAAAATGAATAGTCCACTTTAACAGAGAGCTAACCTGCTATATTTCTACCTGATAAAACGTCTGTTGTTCTGAGAAACCTGAAATTTAATCCCCAATTTCAAACTTTGGTAATGATAGTCAGGGAATCCGTATTATGTCGTGGGAAAAAAAAAGAATTAGTGTGAATTCAGAATATGTCTAGAATATGTCATGCTTAAATGGACTTTAAAGAGTCACCAGAAGGATAAAGAGTGCTAACTCAAATCTGAATCTTAACAAGAAAATTAATATACAGGTACTCCTCGATTTACAACCACAATTGGGAACTTAGTTATACTTGGTTATGGTTGTAAATTGAGGCACCACATAAATGGACCTGATTTTTCACCCGGCTGTTAAGCAAATCTCATGGCTGTTAAGTCTAAATCCATTTTCAAAAGCAGATATTTTGTTTATTTATTGTACATAACACATACGCACACACAGGTTGTCTATGCAGCTTCATGAATGAGTAAGGATTTTAATCTTCTTTATTAGTCTTCTGTAGTATCATTCTCTATAACAGTGATGGCTAACCTTTTTGCCATCGTGTGTCAGGAGAGGGGGGAGCAGGGGAGGGTCGTGCACGCACGTGCCCACGCGAATGCGCACGCAACCCCCCCCCCCCCCCTGGCACATGATGGCCTGGTAGACCTGTTTTTCTTTCTTACCTGGTTCCAGATCCTCTCTATTTATCTGGGAAGGGCGAAAACAGCCTTTCTCGCTCTCTCGGAGGCCCTCCAAAGACCTGAAATGGCCCACTTCCCAACTCCCGGTGGGACAGGAAGTGACATTTTTTGCTGTCTCCAGCCTCCAGAGCCCCTCTAGGAGTCTCTGGAGGCTGGGGGCGGGGACAGGAAAAAAAGTCACTTCCTGTCCCACCGGGAAATGGGCCCTTTCAGCCTCCGTAGGGCTTCCAAGGGAGCGGGAAAGGCTGTTTTCGCCCTTCCCAGATAAATAGAGAGAATCTGGAGCCAGGTGAGAAAGAAAAACGGGCCTTCCCCACCCCCCACCCCCAGGCCCTCCAGAAGCAGGAAACAGCCTATTTCCCTACTTCTGGTGGGCCCAGAAGGCCCGAAAATCATCTGGCCGGCGCACACATGCGCCCCAGAGCTGAGCTGGCGTGCCCACTAATATGGCTCATGTCCATTATCTTATTAACGGTGCATATTTGTTAATTATTATTATCGTACAGAATTTTACATTTACGCTCATTTCTACAAGTTATCCAATTATACCACCTATTTCATGCTATATAACCTTTTGAGTCTACCTTATTCTTCATTTCAAATGTTAGTTTGTCCATTTCTGCACAATTATAGATCTTTTGGATTATCAGTTGGTCTGTTGGTAGTTGATCAGTTTTCCAATATTGGGCGAGCGCCAATTTGGTTGTAGCAACTATGTGTAATATTAAGTACTTCATTTCTTTCCTATAGTTTTCTCTGATCATCCATAGTAGGAAAATTTCTGGTTTGAGTTCTATTTTTTCCGATGTTATTTCTATTAGCCAAATTCTTATTTTTCCCAATATTTCCTAATTTTTGGGCAAAGCCACCAGACGTGGAAGAATGTGCCCTGTGCCTGATTACACTTCCAACAGATTGGACTTAAATTTGAATACATTTTTGCTAATCTCGAAGGGGTCAGATACCATCTATACCACATTTTGTATTGATTCTGTTTATAAACCACTGACTTTGTTATAATATAATTATTTTCCCATTCTGCCTTTTTAATGATGGTTGTAATGTTAGGTGTCCGTTTCAAATCCTGGGAGATTATAGAACTCAGAAACATAGTAATGTTGATGCTTCTCTGCCGTAGGCTTGAAAGTCATTATATCTTCCCTTCTTCAGTCGGTGAAAAAACTTGCAAATGTGATGTTGCTGACAGTTTTCTTCTTGGCCGTGTTTGCATTGGTTGGTCTTCAGCTCTTCATGGGTAACTTAAGATATAAGTGTGTTTCCTGTTCACTTCTCACTGAAAACCTCAACAAAACTGATTGTTTATTAAAGGATACAGGTAACGTATAAATTCCCTCTCTTTTGGTAAGCTTTATGTCATACCTGTTTTAAACCATTTATTGTATTAACACCATTTATTTGTGAACCATGTGCTGAACACTTGAGCTGCAAATTAAGAAATATAAAACTATTAAATCATAGAACTGTGGCATTGTCAAGGCAGCCTTGATTATTTTTCTCACTCTACATACCTTTTTCCAGGTCATACAGTATCTGTATGAGAGAGATGGACAAACTCATAATAGACCTTATTCCAATCTTGTTCAGATCTTATCATTTGGGAGTTTTTCCTTACATAGAAATAAAATCTTATGATCGTTATTTCTGGTTTTGGATCACACATATTTTGTTAGTTTGTTCATCTCCATATCATGTTCCATAAAATTTCCACGAACTTGTGGAAATACAGGTAATACTGAGCCCAAAATTTATGTTGCTAAATGAGAAATTTGTTAAGTGAGTTTTGCCCCACTTTTACTAACTTTTCTTGCCACATTTGTTAAGCAAATCACTGCAGTTGTTCAATTAGTAACATGGTTGTTAAGTGAATCTATCTTCCCCCATTGACTTTGCTTGTCAGAAGGTTGCAAAAGCAGGTCACATGACCCTGGGACACTACAACTGTCATAAATGTGAATCAAGCATCAGAATGTAAATCATGTGACCACGAGGATACTGCAATGGTCATAAGTATGAAAAATGGTCATAAGTCACTTTTTTTTCAATAACTTTAGTCATTAAGTGAATGGTTATAAGTCAAAGACTACCTGTACAAGTTTTCATTTTGGTGTATTTATTTCTGTTTGGGATTAGGAGTTTGTCTCAAAGCACTATTTCCCAAAATTTTATATTATCATGGAAAAAAAATGCCCATTCGTGAAAGTAAATTTAGACTTACAGCCACGAGATTTGCTTAATAGCTGTTTTTTCATTAAAGATAATGAAAATAAGGTGGCTGTAATTCAGGGCTTAATTTAGAAGTGTTTGCCCTGCCCAGCTCACCTCTCTGCCCCCCAAAACAAATCAAAGTAAAGAACTATGCCCTGGAATTAGAGAAAGGTGTAGTTCAAGTTTTCTTTCTACAGATCTATGATTTGTCCCTTGGCAAAGCCACTATGTCCATTTTTTTGGACAGTGGCCTCCATGGAGGACATAAAAAGAAAGTCAAGATGTTACACGTGTGTATAAAAGGAAGGTCTTAAATTATATGGTTGTGACTACTATTTCAAGTTTTTTGGCCTCTCCATTCACACCCCTGATTTTGTGAGAGCATTCCCAAGATTGTGTAAATGTGGTTTTCCCTAATTCGAAGAACAATGGAAACTCCTGAAGGAAGTCTTTGCAGGTAGTCCTCAACTTACGACCTGTTGCTTAGTGACTTAGAAGTTACGACTAACCTGAAAAAAGGGGGCTTACTAGGATCTGGATTTGAAGTTTCAAGCCTCCTCCATGGTCACATGACTGAATTTTATTTGCTGAAAGCCAGCACTTTCAGTTTGGAGCAAAACTGCATCTATAGTGAATTATTGTTTCGTTTAAAACCATAGCATTCGCTTAACTGTGGATTCACTTAACAACCATAGTGATTTGCTTAATGATTGCTAAAAATAGAATTAATTATATGACCGACTTGTTTTACCACCATTACAACATATAACTGTATTGGGTAGGCTACCTGTATCTCTGTATTTGTAAAACAACAGAAATTGTTGTTTCAGAGCTGAACTTTTCACTCACTGGAATATTTTTTTTATTGACTTCATATATGAAGTGTCAGAGAAAGCTTAATGTAATCTGTTCAGATTCCCTCATGTATTTTATGTTGCCTTAATACACTGCTCCAAATTATTGCATTTTTCTTTATGAAACACTTCTGGAATTGATACTGGGGAAATGTAAGGTAAAGTTATCCAACAAATTAAACACAGATAAGGGGAAGTTATAGCTCTTTTTATTATTTATTTATTATTCAAATTTCTATACCGCCCTTCTCCTTTCGGACTTTTTACCTGCATGTTCCAATTTCCTGTAAAAGTTAGGCTGCCATTTTAGTTGGGGATCTACAATAAATATTTTTCCTTCCTTTTGAGAAGAACAGTCAGCTGAAATACATCAGATATATTCTGTTTTTTTCAGAAATGCCTCCAGTTATATTATTTGGAGGTTTCCCTGTTATGTTGCCTTTTGTTTTTCTTGCTCCTGTTGTCTTTTCTTCCCTCTCATCCTACCTACCCACCCCCAACCCAGATTCTGAAATAAGGCTTTTATTTTAAAAAGTTACACCAGCGCTAATTCGCAGACTAATAAATTATTCTTTATACAGAGGTTATCAAATGGATGGTTTTAACCATGCATATCAGGATAGGATGATATTTTAAATAATTCCTTTTTTTTCTCCCCAGAAAACTATGGTGACAATTTCAGTAATTCTTCTAAGCCATTACTATGTGGATTCAGCCCAAATCCTAAGTACATACTTTTTTTTCTCCTCAAAACATTTTAACTGTAAAGTAGAATTGTTTTCAGAATAATTGAGGCTACACTAATAGAGGTAGGCAAGATTCTATGTAATCTTCCTTGTTTATTTATTTATTTATTTGTTTGTTTGTTTGTTTATTTATTTATTTATTTAAAAAGAGGAATACTTTTAAAATGCTGGGCCTTTTAAACTTTGAGGCAAGGATAATATGCTCACTGAGGGCCAGTGTGGCCATGAGGCCAAAGAAGATCAGTGCTTTGAGTGCCTGAGAGGCTGTTGGAGAATTGAGAGATCAGCCTGTCATGGCCCCATAAGCTCAGGTACAAGAGTGTGCTTGCAATTGTGTTCTTAAAGGGCAACCATTTATCTATTGTTTCAGACAGAAAATTGAACTGGACTAGTCCTTGTCTTCTAGTGGAGCAGGAAATTTAGGTGATTGTCTGGTAATAATAGAGGGAAAAATTGTGAACACAGGGTACCTTGGTAGCCAACTGCTTTGAAACTCATCAAATTTGGTACTCAATGCATTTTGACATGAAAATTTTGTCCCAGTGCTCATCATTTGTTTGGTACTCAACACACAAGCTTGAACTTGTCAATGTCAGCTGCCTTGTGACTCACTATATTATTACTTATAGGGGAAAAAAATGTTCGGTACTCATCATTTTTCATACACTTCGTACCTCCCAGAACCAATTAACAAGGAGTACTAAGTTGCCACTGTATAAGCAGATGGCAAAGGCTATTTATTTATTTATTTGTATCCTTTATTATTTTTACAAATAACTTAAGGCAGCAAATATATCCAACAGATCTTCCTTTTCCTATTTTCTCCACAACAACCACTGTATGAGGTGGGTTGGGCTGAAAGAATGACTGTCCCAAAGTCACACACTGACTTTCATGGATAAGGCAGGACTAAAACTCACCATTTCCCTCTTTCTAACCTGGTGCCTTAACCACTAAACCAAATTGGTTCTCTATTTTTTAACTTTGGGGGATAAATTTGAAGGAGACACATACAATTTTCCTGCAAAAGGCTATGGCAGGCTAGTGATATCTCATAAAAGATATCGACGACCTCCCATCGACCCGTGCGCTCCCACAGAGAGGGCCTCCTCAGGGTGCCATCAGCCAAACAATGCAGGCTGGTGACCCCCAGGGGGAGGGCCTTCTCTGTGGGGGTACCTATCCTCTGGAATCAACTGCCCCCAGAGATAAGGAGAATCCAAGACCTCGGTGCCTTCCGCCGTGCCCTTAAAACCCAGTTTTTCCAGCAAGCTGGGCTGGCTTAAGAAGAAATTTTTAAATGTTTTAATTGGTTTGTGATTTTTAATTTTGGGGCAAAATTTATATATATTTTAATTGTTTTTTAATATTTGTATTTCATGTTCTTAATTCTGGCTGTACACCGCCCTGAGTCCTCAGGCAGAAGGGCGGTATATAAATTGGAAATAAAATAAAAATAAAATAAAATAAATAAAAGAATCTTACTCTGTCAGAGGTTTAATGCTATAAAACGATGACATACAGTTCTGTAAGTTTCAAGTGAGCTCATACAAGAAAAAACAGAATTTATACCAAAGCATTTACAGCACTGGCATTTCCCTTTTTGGAATAAAAGGACATTGAGTGGGTTAAAAAAAATTCAAAATTGTAATAGGTTGTCCTCAATTTACAATCAATCACTTAGTGACATTTGAATTTATGAGAGATTTCCCCAGGGCTACTTACAACTGGATTTGCTACTCCCCTCACCTCCTTTCGTGGTCTCAGAATCATATTTTGGGCAGCCGGCAACTGGCACACATTTACAGTCGATTGCAATGTCCCACAGTTATGTGACCATAATTTATAATGTTCCCCCCCCCTCAAAACTGGCATTTACTTACAGTTTCTGACAAAAAAACACCCATTATGGACAATGGATTTGTTTAACAACTGTGATGATTCATTTAATAACTGCTGCAAAATCACATGGTGATCTGCTTAACAGCCAGAGTGATTTCTGATTATAATTCCAGGCTCAATCATAATCATAGATCAAGGATGATGGCCAAATCTGGCTCTAGGTTCTGCCTCAGTTTACCTTTTCCAGTAAGCAACTTAGTCGGAAGATCATTTAAAGCTATTTATTACAGTATTCTGATAAAGTTGAGTCTCTCTATGAAAAGGAGGAAAAATAGCTTACATTTACTTTTATAGTTAGCACAGCAAAGAACTTTAAAACAAAAGCTGATTGGTTTAGAAATAGTCTTCTGTCCAGTTACAATACAAGAATTAAAGCATCCAATGATATGTGAGCATAGCAATAGGAAAAAATGTTGTATTCCGAATAGAAGTAAAAGAAACATTTGCAAAGGAAAAACATCAGAATGGGTATGGGTAAGTCACATTCTCAATGCTACCCAAGGTTGAGCGTGACTAGTTTCTTTGTTCATGGATGCTCAAGAAGAGCTGAAAATGAAACTGTTATCTACAATGTATTGAATGGTTTCCTGCCAGTTCTGCTTTCTAAAGGGGAAACTTCATGAAGGTTAAGGCTCATGACAGATTATTAGCAATACATTTGAAAAAAGTGAATCCATACAAGAAAATTAATGTCTGCTAGCCAGTATTGCAAAAAGCATGTTTCAAGTATTACAAAGTCCATCCTGTGTGGCCCTCAAGGGTTACCTCTACAGTGATACAGACAGTTATAGCAAAAAAAATCCTTCTTTTTTTTTTTTACATGAAAACTAACGCTAATATAATGTTTGGTCTATTATTAGTAAAACAGAATGTCCCTTGAACAGCGTTTGTGTGAAGTATAAAGAGAATCCCGATTTTGGATATACCAGTTTTGATCACTTGGGGTGGGCGTTTCTGTCATTATTTCGATTGATGACGCAGGACAGCTGGGAACGTCTCTATAGACAGGTAAACAACTTTCCAGACAACTGAAGATAAGAAATGTGCAAAACAGAGTGAAGGACACATTATTTGCTGGGAGAATGCAGTTGCTACATATCCTATTTCAATGCTGTGGATTGCATTAAATTATTGTCATTGGTCTCATATCAACAGTATAAAAACCAGTTTAACAACTGGTTCTCTGCCCTAATGACCGGCTGGGTGGGTGTGGCCATGGTGGGCATGGCCAGGGGATGTGACAGGCAGCACCCCCCCTGGGAGCAAAAATGGGCCACGGGGGGGGGAGGAGATGCACTGCCCCCCATGCCCCATTTTGGGCCTAGTAGGTCTCCCTGCACTTACCTGGGAGCCAAAATGGGGCACATGGAGACTCCTGGAAGGGGCGGGGAGGAGTGGAGCCATCCAGCAATTTAACTACCGGTTCTCCCAAACTGGCCCGAACCGGCTGAATCCCACCCTGAGTCTTCGGAGTGGGGTGGCATACAAATTGAATGAATAAATAAATAAATAATAAAAACCATGATCAAATTTATCTATGCAATAGTGGTGAATATCTGTAGCTTGGGAAAAGGATGAGGGGAAAAGTTTCTATCTCAGAGCTTGTGAGTTGGTTTCCGAAGGTATTATTACCAGGCTAGTGAAGACCAAATATGGTTTTTTCAGGCTCGTGCCTTGGCATCCATATTTTCCAATGAGACAAGCCGAGACAGGAAGATCATTTTATTATAATTTATCAGAATATTCAGGCAAAAGGGATTCCTCTCATTCAAAGAAGGAACCCCAATCTTTAACTTGCAACACCTTTTATAATTAGCATAACAAAGAAAAATCCAAGAGGAGAGCTGATTGGACAGGGTAAAAGTAACCTCCCCTTCGCATAGGAAATCAGTTACAAGCAGTCAAACAGGTTACATATTTGCATCCCATAATATCACACCTGTTCATTAAAATGAGGTCAGAAGGGGGATAAATTGCAAGGAAAAAAGGTTGTTTAGAGTTCACGAAAGGGATAAACCAGACCCCAATTTGTACTAACAAAATTTTTCTTATCTGGAGATAATCTCCAGCCTATTTATCTTTTCAATTTAGGAATGTTAAAAGCTATTCCTAAATTCCTGTCTGTAATGAGCCTGAACATCCTTTTTAAGACAGAGAAAATAAGTCAAATTGAAATACAAAATAACTGTTAAAAATACAAATTTAATATACAAAGTATCTGTGTTAGCTAACAAATTACAAAACCCATGTCATTTGCCCCTCACTAGGTAACATCTTCCCCTAAACTCTGCTGAAGATGTTACCTAGTCTGGTAACGAAATGTTCTGAAACCAACGCACAAGCTCAGAGAACGAATCTTCACCATCAAATTTAGCTATCAAGTGCCACAATTCATTAATTTGACCATAATATGATCTTTACAACATCAGATTAACAAATCTACTTATTTGAAATGTTCACAATACAGTATGTGCATGTTGGCAAGAAATCTTGGTTTAATATATTTGCTTTGGGATTTCAAAGAAATCTGTGGGGGTTCTCTGATTTTGTATTTACAGGTTATCAGAACATCTGGAAAATCTTACAGCATATTTTTTTTTATCGTCATCTTTCTGTGTTCGTTCTATCTTTTCAATTTAATCCTGGCTGTTGTTTCAATGGCATATGAAGAGCAAAATAAAGCAACTCTAGCACAGACAAAGGCAAGAGAGATGTTACTTCAAGAAGCAAAAAAAGTGCTGAGGAAACAAAAGGTTTGTAAATAATATTTAGGACTGCAAATCTCTATACAGGTAGTCCTCAACCTACAACAGTTCATTTAGTGACTATTCAAAGTTACAACAATACTGAAAAATGTGACTTATGACCTTTTTTCATAGTTACGACCTTTGCAGCATCCCCATGATCATGTGATTGAAATTCAGATGCTTGGCAACTGGCATGTACTTATGACAGTTGCAGTGTCCCAGGATCATGTAATCCCCTTTTGCGACCTTTTGACACACTTAACAACCATGTTATTAATTTAACAACTACAATGGTTCACTTAATAACTGTGGCAAGGAAGTTTGTAAAATGGAGCAAAACTCACTTAACAAATGCCTCACTTAGCAAGAGAAATTTTGGGCTCAGTTTTGGTCATAAGTCAAGGACTACCTGTAAACATACACACACACAGAGTCTCACCCAGTATGACACTAATATTATTTACATTACTTCTTCCACTTTAAAATATTAAGATAGAAAATATTGATTAATAGAGTATACACTTTTAATAATTTTGCCATAGTCCCTACCAGATCAGATTGTGAGCAATCTATTATTTTTTTCCTGATATGTTGTGTTAAAGAGATGTTTTTAAAGGGAGAGTTGCAAATCGTTATAAATAGCTTCTTAACTTTTGATATTCTTCATTTGTTTTGATGTTTGCATTTAAACATGTTGATGCTTTTTGATGAACAATGCTCTGAAATGTATAGCTGTCTTATTTTGTGGTACAAACTTTTATGATTTCCACCCAAAAGTTGTGCATATACTTATTTACAGCATGTTTTTTCATTGAAATGTTTTGGTACTTATTTTATATAGTCATTGATTTTATTTAGTTATTTGTATGTTACTACCTTTTCCGAAATTCTGTATTTATAACTTTTCTTGTCACAGCTGTTAAGTGAATCTCTGTAGTTGATAAGTTAATAACATGGTTGTTAAGTGAATCTACTTTTTTATTTATTTATTTATTTATTTATTTATTTATTTATTTATTTATTTATTTATTTATTTAACTTGTATGCCGCCCTATCTCCGAAAGGACTCAGGGCGGCTCACAACAATAAAAACAAGCAAAAATAATATTAAAAATACCCAATAGGATTATAAAAGACCATTAAAATCCCCTTTAAAACCCCTTCAGTCCAAACCAGCCGGGCGAAATAACCATGTTTTAAGGTCACGGCGGAAAGAGCGAAGGTTAGGGGCCACCCGGAGCTCCAGGGGGAGCTGATTCCACAAGGTAGGTGCACCCACAGAGAAGGCCCGCTCCGTAGGGGTCGCCAGCTGACATTGTCTGGCCGATGGCACCCCAAGGAGGCCCTCCCTGTGGGAATACATCGGCTATCGCTAGCCGCAGATGGTCCGCCAATACCCCGGGCCTAAGCCATGTAGGGCTTTATAGGTAATTATCAGCACCTTGAATCTCACCCGGAGGGCAACCGGTAGCCAATGCAGGTCCCGCAGGAGAGGTGTAACATGAGAGTGTTTTGCTTGTCAGAAAGTCACAAAAGGTGATCGCATAACCCTCCCCCCCCCAGGACACTGCAAACATCATAAATATGAGTGAGTTGGCAAGTATCTGAAATTTGATCACATGACTATATGGATATTGCAATGTCATAAGTGTGAAAAACAGTAATAAGTCACTATTTTCAGTGTTGTGGCTTCAAATGGTCACTAAATGAACTGTGGTAAATGAAGGACTGCCTCTAATATTAGTATCTGTCTGTCTGTCTGTATATGTACATGCTAAATTTATTTCCCACTTATCTCGCTGTGGGGCTAGTTGACTTACAGCAATTAAAAGGAAGGAATGAAAAGAAAGTAAACAAAATGATGGAACTATAAAATAAAGAATGAAAAAGTAAACTACAAGAATACATCCATACGGTAAGAAAAGTTGGACAGATGGAGAGCAGAGAGCAGTGCACTTGTGTGTTTGTGTTTGTGTGTGTTTATAATCAATCTTCAATCCAGCAGCCACATCTCTCTATAACTATAAATATGTATGTGTATATCTCTATCTCTATCTCTATAATCTATATCTATCGTATGTTTAGGTGTGTGTGTAATCAATCTTCAATCCAGCAACCATTGCTGGGGTATCGGTGTCTATGTTTATTTCTTTCGTTGCATATCAGCTTTTACAAGATCAGTATTCCTTTTAATTATTACTGCTACTCCTCCTCTTACCATGCATACTTGAAAAAAAATGTTTCAGGAACTAGTTTCACAAAGTCTCCTGGCATTATCGAATGAAAACTTGGAAATGCCAAGTGAAGAATCTGAAAATAAAAAAGGGAAAAGAAGATTTAAGAGAAAGAAGAAACGCAAAAACACAAAATCCAAAACTTATGGGGAAGATGAAACAATGTTTTATTCACCACCTGATAAAAGTCAAAAGGAACTTGTAAGTTTAAGCAGTTTAACCTTTATAAACAGAGTGCAAGATGTATTTATCTCATTAAGTTGAAATTTGATGACCTAGGTGAATATACAAAGTTTTTAAGGGGCAACCAACAAAGTGGTATATTTTCTTTCATAGATTTATAAATCTATCAGTCAAATAAAAAAAAACAACCTTGAAAAATACTTTTATCTAATTGCACCTACAATTTTATTCCAACAAAATTTTACTTTCTATCTTTGGTTTTTAACTTCGCAATGTAGAATTGCTTTTTCTAAATGTATTTCATGATTAGTGTGCATTTTTTTCCAACAACATCTTCAGGATAGATCAAAAGAGGCTGGATGCTGGTCACAGTATTGTATGTGTAGGGGTGACGCTGAGATGCACCCAGCCTGGCAGGATGGAGGGATCCAACACAGAGCTAGTCTAGACTCACTGCACAATATTAAGAAGGTCCAGGACCAGCCTTCCCTCAATGGTTTAGAGCAGTGATGGCTAAACTTTTCCGGACTGAGTGCCCAGAACGTGTGTGCATGAATGCGTGTGTGTGTGCCCAAAACCCCAAAATGCAACACATGCATTGCCCCCATGCATGCACCTTGCCCTCTGTGCATGCGCTCGTGGCCCCCTGCATGCGCCCCTCCCCCCTGCATGTGCAGCAGAGACCTGAAAACCAGCTGGCTGGCAGGAGGCATGCACACATGCGTGGCAGAGCGGAACTGTGGTGATGGCTCACATGCCCACAGAGAGGGTGCTGCGTGCCACCTCTGGCATGCGTGCCATAGGTTCGTCATCATGGGTTTAGAGCCTTATCTACTGTATTTGTTCCCAAGGGAGAGCTGCTAGATTGAGGAGATTCCTGTATTACAGGCAGAATGTAATAAAGTAGCTAGCTTGAGCTCTGCCCACATGGGCTTGGTTGTTGGTGGCTTCAATCATGGTGCTATAATTTCCATCCTTCCTGTTTTGACCACACAATGGACACTACTGATTCCCCACCCCCATTCATTTCATCAGAGAAAGCAAACAATGAATTCAGAACTATATGTGAAAGTTGCTAGATTTCTGCAGTTACATACTCATTTTTATTATAAATAAAGAATGCACGTAATCGGTACTGATGGAAGGTCAAATGCTGAAATAAGTATGTGATTTTTTAAAATGTGTTTAAAATGAAGTTTCATTAGTATTGACTACCAAAATACATTGGCTTTACTTCTGTGTTCTTTCCAATCAGTGCTGTCTATGCTTTGGCTGCTGTAGGGGAATTCTGTATTATTACTGAGGGTCTCTGTATCTCAAGTGATATTCTTTGGCTGAGCTGATTTCTTTCTGGCTCACCTATGGCAAATTTAGAAAAGGCTTTCTTGTTGAAGTATTGCTTTCCAGAATTACAGATTGATTACAGTCAAAAGGAACTGAAGGCTAAGGGGAGACATAAAAACAGTCTTCTAATGTTTAAAGGCCTGTCATAGAGAAGATGGGTTTATTCTCCAGAGCTCCTGAAGGTAGGACAAGAACTATTAGGTGGAAGCTAACAAGATCTAAATTCAAAATAAGGAAGAATTTCCTGACCAAAAGAATTATAGATAGTTGTTGACTTATTACTGCAATTGGAATCAGAACTTCTGTTACTAAGCGGTGCGGTTGTTAAATGAGTCACACCTTATTTTATGACCCTTTTTCCTGTGACTGTTAAGCAAATCACATCATTAAGGGAATCTGGCTTCCAAATTGACTTGGTTTGTTGGAAGCTCTCCTGGGAAGGGTGCCAGTGGCAATCATGTGACCCCATGGGTACATATGTGCCGATTGCTAAAATTTTGAATATAAGACTTTACGCTGTATCCTATTCAAGAGGATCTTAACCAGGGTTGGCTGCAACCGGTTTAACAACCAGTTCTGTGAACATGCGCTTTGCATGTGCACGCACCTGACACACTTGCACGCAGCATTCAAAATACAGCAATTTGAAGCTCAGCTGCTTACCTTCTAAGGCAGCCCCGGTAAGTAGAACAGTGGAGGCGCAGAAATCAGCTGTTCCGCGTGAATCAGCTGAGCCAGAAAGAAGGAAATAAAGGACAGGATTGAGCAGGGGTGGGTGGGTGGGGCCAGCTGATCGTCGGAACTACCGGTTTGCTCGAACCGATCCGAACCGGCAGCAGCCCACCACTGATCTTAACCTAAGATCTTTTCCAGGAAATTATTCTCCTGCACTCACCCAATAAGAGACGTTTCAATAAAGGGGTACATTAATAGTTCAAACATTCACTTTATTCAGTAAAGCGAGGGTTTTTTTTCTTCCACAGAAAGAGATGGTGATGTCCTATCAACTACCACTTGAAATGCTTGATGATCCATTTCAAAGGCAGAAATTAACAAGTGCTGCCAATGTGATTAGCAAAACTATGGGTGAGTGAAAATGTCAATGATCTGGAAAATTTGAGTTCTTTTTTTTTTTAACAACAAAACAACTTCAGTACCATTATTATATTACAAACAATTAAGTTTTCATGGTCCGAAATTCATTTAAATTTGTGTTGTGTTGTATTATTTACAAAACTAAGAAGG